TACAGTGGTGTAGCATGAAATTTTTCATGGGGGAATAGTTAGCACCAGAAGCACTAGCTGTGAGGCTGATAGTTATTTTCAGGGGGGAGACACGTGTGTGTGATGTCAAAACGTCCTGACATCACATTTGTGAGTATCGCATGTCCCTCCCTAAGCTGGGCAGATGTTTCCCAGGCTTTCGGAAGGAGGCTCCAGGCCTATGACAGGATGCTGAAGCCCTCCTTCGTCCTTCCCAAAGCCAGCTGGGCTTTGGGAAGGTGGCGGGAGGGCTCTTGGACCCATTGGAGCACTGTACCTCCTCCCTCAGCTGGGTAGAAGCATCCTGGGCTTTGGGAAGGAGGCACCAAGTTTTAATACTTTAATACTCTAATGTACCAGGAACAATTAGGGGACTAGCCTAGTCCCCCTAGTTCACTGACCGCACACCATTGCCTGACTGGTGGTTAGAAATACAAAAGCCAGGGCAGTGTGAAGTAAGGCTGAGCACAGGGGGCAGGCAGCAGAAGAGAAGCAGAGTCAGGCCCATGCTTGATGCCAAAGGCTATGACTATGCAAGAAGCAAGACCTTTTTGGGTATTAATGTTGTGAGCCCCTCCATCTTAGGCTCAGGCTGTGTATATGTGTAAATAAACCATATATCATAAAGACACCACAGTCTCCACTATGCCTCCTTCCCAAAAGGAAACACAAACCCTGGGTAAGTGCCTGGAACCCCTGGAAACTTGCACCCCTCGGAGATTGGGGTGGCGTGCAACAATATTTTTCTAGTTTTGCATGCACAATAGTTGGGTCTGCAGATTATTCTACACTTTGCAAAAAAAATAAAAAATAAAAAATGGAGCCAACTTGGATGTTGGTTTAAGGAAAAGAGCCCAAACCATCCAATTAGAATGGTTATTACAAATTCTAGGAAATTTTAGTCAGGATTTTGAAATCGCAGAAGAGTTTTACCAGAGTCGGAGCAAATATCACTACAGTATTTTAATATGAATGACAATGATGCTTCCTTTCACCTTAATTATGCTGAGTCAATGGGCTTCCAGCAAACATTGCTCATTCTCATTAAAACAGATCTCTGGAGATTTGCCTTAATTTTACTCCTTCCTGCGCTGTGTGGATTTGCTTTGGAAATCTTATTCAGCTTCCACCCAGGCCTGACACTGCTGAGCTGATGGGTTCTGACACGCCTGTGTGGTCCCAGGGGCCATACTGACAAGCTGTGGTTTCTTTCTTCCATATAGAAGGAACCCTATGAATCGCCTGGCTATGGGAATGGTTTGCTGTTATCTTTATACTGCTTGAGAGATAAAACTCCATGGATTCTTTAGCTGTTGATTCCTGCATTGCAGAAAGCTGGACTAGACGACCCTCTGGGTGTCTTCCAACTCTATGATTCTGTGATTCTCCAGCACCCATCCACTGCAGCAAGCAGGCTCAATGGTCAGGGATAGTGGAAGTTGTAGTCTGGTAACATCTGAAGACCCACAGGCTCCTCGTTTTTTATCTAGAGCTGACAGGGACTGGGTACAACCAAACAAGATTCAAGGAGACTTCAACTTAGTTATGATTAATCCTTCTTTCACTGTTATCCATAGGGCTTTGTCCTGAGTAACTTTTGCTGGAATTGGGTTGTGTCACTAGAATCTATGGAGACACTTGGTTGCAGGGAGGGGAGGTGGTTCATAAACATTTGGGTTTCCCCCCCATCGTGGTAAAGTAGTAGTTGCCTCATTTGGAATGGGGGAAGGTATTTCATAGGGGTAGGGAGGAAGGAGGGGATGAAGAAAGCTCAAAAGTCCTGTTCTTAAATACTGAGTTGGGGGGCAGGCCCCTATCAAGAGATGGAGTTAGGCATAAGTCGGCAATAACACAATAAAGCATCTGATGTGAAGTTAACTCTTTATTCAAAGAAACAAACAAAGCTCAGCAACCCTTCCCAGTAGGTCTTGCCCCAATGAGGCAGTTGCAAGGACTGAAGGTCCCTTGCCTTCTCTCTGCACTCTTAGGCTCCTCTCCTGGTTCATTCCTCAGCAGCCTAAGGCTCCATTGTCTTGTCTCTCACTGCTCCTCCCTCTTCATTTCTCTGCGTATTCTGGGAATACCAAGCGGGAGGGGAGCTGCTCGCAGCAGGAGGGGGGAGACTGCCTGGATTCTTCCAAAGCCTGCCTCATCTCTGTCTCCTGGCCCCCTCCACTTCTGCCTCCAATTCTTGACTGCTTTCTGCCACAGCCTCTTCCTGCTCACTAAACCTTGTCACCTCTTCAGCTTCCGACACCTCTGCCTCTCAGACTGCTCTATCTTCTCCGTCTGACCACTCCTTGTCATCCCACCACCAATCCCCTGGCTCAGAGCCTTCTTCCGCTGGGGATTCCCCAGCTGGCGCCTCCCACCACTCCTTTGCACCCAGCCAGTCCAGGACAGTCCCCTTCTAATTCCTGGATCCAGCACAGATTAAATTACTGAAATAGCGCAATAGAGTTAGGCACCAGTTCCTCTGACATGCTTTGCTTCTCTTCAAATGGACGTGTCAGTGAAACCACCAAATTTTCAAAAAGCAACCGCATGCCAAGACAACAGTGAGCTGAAACACTGTAGAGCAGTAAACCCCTTTATATTAGACAGGGTAGGGATACAGATGTTGTTAGATCTGTATATACTGTATTGTTGGACCCCGGTTAGCTTCACCCCAGCCAGCGTAGTCAACAGTCAGGGATTTTGGAAGTGAGAGTCTATGAATGACCCTGCCCTGCATTAGAACCCACAGGGTATGAAATGGTGCAGATTATGGGGGATATTTTTGTGTGTTTTTTTAAATGATATTTATTAAAATTTCAGAGAAAAGAATTACATAAAAACAAGAAATACAAAAATAAAAGACAAAAATAAAAATACAAGAAAAATATAAAATACAAAATACAGAATAGAAAAAATAAAAACACTTAAAAAGGAAAAGAAAAAAAAAATGAATCAATCTTTCCATGCCTTACATTCATATCCTTGTTTCCCTGACCTCCTCATACCTCCCTTTTTTGTGTTCCAATTCAATTAGTTAATTCAGCAATTTCTTTCCCTCTTTATTTTCTCCTAATCCTTTAACTTAATATAGTATAACTTTAAATTTTCACCTGTTATCAATCCATTTTTACATACACCTTTATAGCATTACTGCTTAAACCACTTAACTTCATTCTAACATCATTCTAACATTCATTAATTTTACAATATTTCTGTAGGTAATCTTTAAATTTCTTCCAGTCTTCTTTCACCAACTCTTCTCCCTGGTCTCGGATTCTGCCAGTCATTTCTGCCAGTTCCATGTAGTCCATCACCTTCATCTGCCATTCTTCCAGAGTGGGTAAATCTTGTGTCTTCCAATACTTTGCAATAAGTATTCTTGCTGCTGTTGTGGCATACATAAAGAAAGTTCTGTCCTTCTTTAGCACCAATTGGCCGACTATGCCCAGGAGAAAGGCCTCTGGTTTCTTCAAGAAGGTATATTTAAATACCTTTTTCAATTCATTATAGATCATCTCCCAGAAAGCCTTAATCCTTGGGCACGTCCACCAAAGGTGAAAGAATGTACCTTCAGTTTCTTTACATTTCCAACATTTATTATCGGGCAAATGATAGATTTTTGCAAGCTTGACTGGGGTCATGTACCACCTGTATATCATTTTCATAATATTCTCTCTTAAGGCATTGCATGCCGTAAACTTCATACCTGTGGTCCATAACTGTTCCCAGTCAGCCATCATTATGTTATGTCCAACATCTTGTGCCCATATGGGGGATATTTTTGACCATCCTTTGCAATCAGTTTTGAACCCAAACTTGCACCTCGTAACCTCTGACACGCTCACCTCCTGACACCTTATTACTCAATTTTACTAACTTCTCTACAATTTCCTGTGGTTGCCAGCATAGATTTCTGCTTACTGTGGCTCTGGTCTATAAATGGATCTGCCAATGAGCAGGCATTGAATCATGTACCCAGGGGCATGGAAGTCCTCCAAGTTATAACCAAAGCTGGGCTCACATTTTGCTGCGCCTGCATACCAAACAGGTTACTCAGGGGTTGATCACCCACCACATTCCCTCCTGCTGACTTTCTACTGAGTTCCTGTCAGTCTTTGTTGTCAGGTTTGCCTTGATCTTTGAGTGCCTAAGGCTGGGTATTGGCAACCTGGGCAACTTGTGGCAAGGAAGTGGGGGAGAGGTTGGAAACACATCCTTCCAATTCTCTTAAGATTTACAGCACATGTCATTCCAAACTAGCTCTTCCAAGATTTGGGGGAACATCTATAGCCCACAAGGAAAACACCTGAGAGGGTAGCATGCTAAGGAGAGAATGGTCACCTAGAAAGAGAAAAGAAACAATTGAAGGATCTCAGAAAGAACCTAAGGTAGAGATATCAAATTCCGGTGTGGAGAGTCTCTCTTTGCAGTGTCTGTAAGCTTCAGAACAGAAGAAGGTAGGAATACAAGAAAGCAGGAAATGTATTTGGTTGTTTCTTAAAGTTATCAGACACAGCATTCAGACTGTGCTTGTGAACTGGATCAGTAGACAGTCTAGTATAAAAATTGGTAAGGCAAATAAATGCTCAGAGGCAATTCTCAGTTCCATCTAGCCACTGCCAGTGCAGAGAAGAGGGATGGAATATTATTTATAATACTTGAAATTCAAGCACAACATTGTACTGAGTAGAAATATAGGTTTCTATTAGGCACTTTCAAAGGTGAAAAAACAACAAGAGTAGGCAAACATTTCTTGTAATAGAACAAACAGTAAGGCATTGAGCAGATGTGGTCGGATTCAAAGTACGCTAGAAGGCATCTGGATCAACAGGGCTTTACATAAAGAAAATCTCTTCGTATCCCAGTCCACAAACTGCAATAGAAAAGCACATTGGTTAAGGCCAGTGGTACTTTAGATATGTAATTACTTCACTTTATAACTGTGGTCCGAAGAGAGGGTTCAGCTGAGCCAGGATTGCAATCAGTCAGAAGAGGTAGCAGCAGACAGCACATGTCACCAACATTGTGTTAATAACATCCCGGTTAGGCCCCTTGGGCACAAACCACAGCACGCCGAAGACGACCACCGTCCAGAACATGCTCATGATGGTGATGGGCACTGCGAGGCCGCCGTATGCCATGGCCGGTCTCTTGCTCGCTCGGTAGTGGTTACTCTTGGTTCTTTTTCTGCATGACGTGATATCTGCATAGCATGACTAGCATGACCCCGTGATAGGACCTGATTACATTCCTTTTCCCCACCCGCAAGACGTCCCACCAGGGAAGGTTGTGGAATGAAAGGATAAAATTTACAGCCTGTAATGCTTTGAAAGAGAATGATGAAAATGATGTATAGATGGTATATTACACAGTGAAATTAGCTAAAATGTATAAAACAAACAATAAATGTTGGAAATGTAAAGAAAAAGAAGGAACATTTTATCATATGTGGTGGGAATGTAAAAAAGTAAAGAACTTCTGGGAAATGATATATAATGAGATGAAAAAGATGTTGAAATATACATTTTTTTAAAAAACAGAAGCATTTTTACTTGGTATTATAGGTCAGGACATTAATAGGCAAGATGTTAAATTGTTTTTATATGCAACAATTGCGGCAAGAGTATTGTTAGCCCAGAAATGGAAACAAGAAGAAATTCCGATGAAAGAAGAATGGCAGACGAAATTAATGGACTATGCAGAATTGGACAAAATGACAGCAAGGATTCGAAACTTGCGGGACCAGAGATTTACAGAAGATTGAAAGAAGTATATTAATTATCTGAAGAGCAACTGTAATCAACAAATTACGCTAGTAGGACTACAAGACGTTTTGTAAGGAGAAATATACGAAGTGTTACAAAGTAGAAAAGACAGAGATATTGGTTATGAGTTTGAAATGTAATAGGGAAGATAAGAAAAGCATACTAAGAGATTAGATTGGAAAATTTTCAGACAGGATTGATGGAAGTTAAAAATATTGAATAAGGTGTAAAAGTATGTTTAATTGCTGTTGAAAATGATATGTTAAAAAACTAATAAAAAAATTATATATATAAAAAGACGTCCCACCAGGGATCACTTGGAAATACTAATGCAACTGGTCTGCATACCCTCCAGGTGTCCTGATTTCTAAGGGTCAGTCAAAAGCCACCTAGCTTCTGATTTGATTCTAAAGGTAAAGGGACTCCTGACCATTAGGTCCAGTCGTGACCGACTCTGGGGTTGCGCGCTCATCTTGCTTTATTGGCTGAGGGAGCTGGCGTACAGCTTCCGGGACATGTGGCCAGCATGACTAAGCCGCTTCTGATGAACCAGAGCAGCGCATAGAAACGCCGTTTACCTTCCCGCTGGAGTGGTACCTATTTATCTACTTGCACTGTGTGCTTTCGAACTGCTAGGTTGGCAGGAGCAGGGACCGAGCAACGGGAGCTCACCCCGTTGCGGAGATTCGAACCGCCGACCTTCTGATCGGCAAGTCCTAGGCTCTGTGGTTTAACCCACAGCGCCACCCACCTCCCGATTTGATTCTAGAATGTCCCTATTTCCCCCGCCAGTGCTGCCGACAAGCAAGCTGGGAGTCGCCACCCCTCTGACATTGGGTAGCAGGCTACTAGCCAGAGTCCTTGGACTTGTAAGACGGCGCTTGTACGCTTAAGGAAGAGAGGGAATCAATAAGGAAAATCAGAATGCAGGAGGAACAATGGTAGACGAAGTGACCCACTTCCCAGATAATGCTTATGCGCTGCAGAAACATAATGTTCTTCCCCAACACTATAGAATCTCGCTAATATCTTACTAAATGTGCGTATGAACCAATTACTGGTGAACAAAGGGATCATTATTCTTAATTACGCCTCCAGTCACTTTCTTAACAAAAAGGAGATAACGTTGCATATAAAGTAGGAAAGGCCTGCACGGAGATGGGGCTTTAAGCAGCATTATTCTCTGAGTCATCATTTAAACCTCAACAAAGTATACGCTAAAGTGGATAGAAATTTGGCGCGGCTCGTGAGAGAGAGATGGATACAGAAACTGAGGAAAATAATACAGTTCACTGGTTCACCTCAGACAATTAAAAGTATTCCCCGGGTGAACAGAAGTGAGAAGCGTGGCTTTCTCAGCTTTTGCTTTCCATCTGTGACTGAGCTTTGCTGTGCCAGGGGTGCTCTGGTCCTGGGTGAACAATTTTTGAGGAGGTGCGAACCAGGCACCCCCAAACAGGTGACCCCAGCATGGCCCGGCCCAGTGTTCCTCTCCACCCACCAAGGGCCGTGTCAGCCAGCTGGGCTGCCCACTAGGCACCAACGCTACACCGCTGACCCTGAGTGTTGAGGTTTGGGACTTAGATGGGTACAAAATTGCTCTCTAGCCCCAAAATTGATACAGTGGTACCTTGGGTTATGTACTTAATTCCTTCTGGAGGTCCATTCTTAACCTGAAACTGTTCTTAACCTGAAGCACCACTTTAGCTAATGGGGCCTCCCGCTGCCGCCGCGCTGCTGCAGCACGATTTCTGTTCTGATTCTGAAGCAAAGTTCCTAACCCGAGGTACTATTTCTGGGTTAGTGGAGTCTGTAACCTGAAGCGTATGTAACCTGAAGCGTATGTAACCTGAGGTACCACTGTATTGCAAAAAATTAAAATGCTCTGTGTTACCCTTTTCTCATAAGGATATGCACTGGACTAGAAGGTGACTCCTCCGACTTGGCTTAGAATTTATCAACCAAAGAAGTTGTTGTTGTTGTTTAGTCGTTTAGTCGTCATTGTTGTTTAGTCTGAAGCTTAACATCAAAAAAACGAAGATCATGGCTACTGGTCCCATCACCTCCTGGCAAATAGAAGGGGAAGAAATGGAGGCAGTGAGAGATTTTACTTTTTTGGGTTCCATGATCACTGCAGATGGTGACAGCAGTCACAAAATTAAAAGACGCCTGCTCCTTGGGAGAAAGGCAATGGCAAACCTAGACAGCATCTTAAAAAGCAGAGACATCACCTTGCCAACAAAGGTCCGTATAGTTAAAGCTATGGTTTTCCCAGTAGTGATGTATGGAAGTGAGAGCTGGACCACCAAGAAGGCTGATCGCCGAAGAATGGATGCTTTTGAATTATGGTGCTGGAGGAGACTCTTGAGAGTCCCATGGACTGCAAGAAGATCAAACGTATCCATTCTTAAGGAAATCAGCCCTGAGTGCTCACTAGAAGGACAGATCGTGAAGTTGAGGCTCCAATACTTTGGCCACCTCATGAGAAGAGAAGACTCCCTGGAAAAGACCCTGATGTTGGGAAAGATGGAGGGCACAAGGAGAAGGGGATGACAGAGGACGAGATGGTTGGACAGTGTTCTTGAAGCTACAAACATGAGCCTGACCAAACTGCGGGAGGCGGTGGAAGACAGGAGTGCCTGGCGTGCTCTGGTCCATGGGGTCACGAAGAGTCGGACACGACTAAACGACTAAACAACAACAACAAAGAAGGTGACTCCTCCGACTTGGCTTAGAATTTATCAACCAAAGAAGTTGTTGTTGTTGTTTAGTCGTTTAGTCCAGCACTGACTGCCATGCGTTACACGTAGGGCTGCCTTTGAAGACGGTTCAGAAGCTTCAGCTGGTGCAGAATTCAGTGGCCTGGTTGCTCAATGGGACAAGATGGTTTGAGCATATCACACCGATCCTGGTCCAACTACACTGCCTGCCATTTAGCTTCTGTGCCCAATTCAGTGTTCTGGTTTTGAACTATAAAGCCTTTAACAGCTTAGGACCACAATACCTCAAGGACTGCCTCTCCCCATATAAACTGTCCCGGACTTTGTGTTCATCCTCTGAGACCCTTCTTTGTGTGCCTCTTCCACAAGAGGTCTGGCAGGTGTCAGCACGAGAAGGGGCCTTTCCTGCAGTGGCTCCCCATGTGTGGAATGCTCTCCCCAGGGAAGTTTGCCTGGTGCCTTCATTATATATATTTTAGGCATCAGACGAAAATGTTCCTCTTCAACCAGGCCTTTGGCTGATTAATATACTACAGTCATACCTCAGGATAAATACGCTTCAGGATAAGTATTTTTGGGTTGTGCTCCGCAGCGACCCAGAGGTAACGGAGCGGATTACTTACGGGTTTCGCTGCTCGTGCATGCGCAGATGGTCCAAATGACGTCACGCTCATGCGCAGAAGCGGCATAACGCGACCCATGCATGCACAGACGTGCAGTCACGTCTTACATTCTGTTCAGGATGCAAACGGGGCTCCGGAACAGATCCCGTTCGCATCCCGCGGTACCACTGTACAGCCTTTAAAATTCATCTGTGCGAAAGTGGGGCTTTTGTTTTGGTTTATTTATTTACTTGTGTCTTATCTTGTATTTTATTCTGTGAGCTGCCCTGGGATCTCTTGTGGAAGGGTGTTATATAAATTTAATAAAACAAGCAAAACAAACAAGTTGCATTACATGAAGAAGGATCGATCGTCAAATAGTTGGAGGGGCTGCAAAGCCAGGAGAACACTGCTGAGCGTTGAGAATTGACAAATTCATGGAGAAGAGGTGTATTGGTGGCTGCTAACCATACTGAGTATGTTCTAACTCCACTATCGGAGGCAGTATGTCTGTGAACATGGGGTTACAGGCAGGAGACATGGTGCCCATTTATAACCTGTGCTAATATGGGTACTGTATATCCTTCAAGAACACATAAGTCCTTTTGGAGAGATGTTTTGGTATAGGTGTGATCAGCTCTGTAAGGTAAGTGCCATACATTAACTATTTAACGTTGTCTTGTATGTCCACCAAAACTGTCTATACATTTCAAGTTACGTATTAGAACACGTGAAGGCAATTTCCATGTTGGAGATATAATTGTCTGTTGCGCAGAACAAGTATTGTGTGTGTACACACACACACACACACACACACACACACACACACTTATTCTGCCCTATTTTGTAGTTGGAGCACCCTATCCTTAGTCTGATTTTTGCCTTGGTATATTGGTGATTAAGATCAAGCCTTAGCAATTTCATTCCAAGATTATCTCTACTGAAAGGGGAAGGTGTTGAATTTAAGGTTACAACACTTAAAAAAGAAAGAAAAAGCGAATTCCATGTTTATGTGAATACTAGCAAACTACCAGTGAACTAAATGTGAAAAGAGCACAAAGCAATTACCAGTAGTGGAACATCTCCTAAAACCAGCCAGTTCCTCAGCAAAAAATGTTATTGATTTCAGGCTAGACTTTTTGTTTCCCTAATAGATATTGATTGCTCTAATAGATTTTACCAGCCACATGTAAAAAAGATTGATTAGGCCATAATGAGAGCTACAGTAGCATAAACTAAGCAGTCATCCAGGAAGTCCCAGCTTCAACCCTTGGCTCTGCATTACGTAACTTGGTTGGTGGTCTGAGTCAAGGCACTACCAGGCTCCTCTGCGATAACATCAGGAAGCTAGATAATAATTTGCTTTCTACTCTGGTATGCCCTCTGTTGGAGTTCATAGGGAGGGAAGAGTCTTTAAGAGGCAACAGAACTGCAGGTTCCAGTTGCTTACCTGAGCAGCTTGTAACATTTTAAAAGAAAGGAAGTCAGAACCCTCAGGGCCAAAGTCCATACCCTCCAACATTTATTTGATGAAAATAGGGACATCCTATATAATAATAGGGACGCGGGTGGCACTGTGGGTTAAACCACAGAGCCTAGGACTTGCCGATCAGGTTGGCGGTTTGAATCCCCGCAACGGGGTGAGCTCCCGTTGCTCGGTCCCTGCTCCTGCCAACCTAGCAGTTTGAAAGCACGAAGTGTAAGTAGATAAATAGGTACTGCTCTGGCGGGAAGGTAAACGGCGTTTCCGTGCGCTGCTCTGGTTCGCCAGAAGCGGCTTAGTCATGCTGGCCACATACCCGGAAGCTGTATGCCGGCTCCCTCGGCCAATAAAGCGAGATGAGCGCCGCAACCCCAGAGTCGGTCACGACTGGACCTAATGGTCCCTTTACCTTTACAATATTAATATTAATATTAATAATAATAACAATGCTTTTATTATTTATACCCCACGCACCTGACTGGGTTGCCTACGCAGTAGGTCAGGATCATGACCTTAATCCCCAACTCCCCAACAAAGCTTCTATCTGTTCTTGCACCTGAACTGTACGTATTACCACCAAAACAGACACATTCTAATCAAAATACTTAAGCGTCATATTGTTATACCCTTTAGTTGCTGCTTAACCAAACTGAAGCTGGCCAGAAAGCCTGGATATTTTTAAAAAAGTGATGTGATCCTGTACCAAAACATAGACAGCTCCAAGCAAAATAACATTTAAGAGTTTGCTAAGAAATGCTGTCCTCTATACCACAGGGCTCCTAGGGGGGAATGCAAATTTGTTCCTACATTTTGAAAAGTTCCTCCTTCCCGATAGGTTTGAGAGATTTACTCCTACAATGTATGTACGCAGCTCTAAGCCTGAGCTCCACTGGGCATGCAGAGAAACAGATTCGAGGAAAGCTGTGACAGTTGCCTAGCTACTGTTCTTATCAACATCAGATAGAAAAATATGAGCTGTAGGCTGGAATACTCAATGTAGGCAGAATATTATTTTCTGCTCCCCACTTCCTGCAATGGATGAGCAACTTGGAAGAGTCTGTTTCTTGTGATATAAAAAAACCCCAGCACAGTATATCTTTTTATTTTGCAGAATGCACAACTTGAGTAGATGGAAAACAAACATGCCCAGAGGCAGCACTTGTCCCAAAACAACATCACTCAAGTAACACCCAGTATCCACATAGTTTGTCTTTATAATGGGATGGCTGAACCATGGGGAAGCAACTTCCATGCCACAGCTGTAAATGTATGAATTGGTCCTTACCTTCAATTTCCACTGTTTTAATTCTTTTCAAAAGGGATATTGAAAGGCTTCAATATTGGATCCAAATAGATTTCAGGCTAAGGTACTCTTGTTCAGGATTTAGTGAACTAATCAGTTTCTCCACATTCTGTGTTTTTGTTGTTTTTACATTAAAGGGACCCCTGACCATTAGGTCCAGTCGTGGCCGACTCTGGGGTTGCGGCGCTCATCTCGCTTTATTAGCCGAGGGAGCCGGCGTACAGCTTCCGGGTATGTGGCCAGCATGACTAAGCCACTTTATCACTACCCGAAGGAGTCTCAAAGTGGCTAACAATCTCCTTTCCCTTCCTCCCCCACAACAAACACTCTGTGAGGTGAGTGGGGCTGAGAGACTTCAAAGAAGTGTGACTAGCCCAAGGTCACCCAGCAGCTGCATGTGGAGAAGCGGAGACGCGAACCCGGTTCACCAGATTATGAGTCTACCACTCTTAACCACTACACCACACTGGTTCTCCCAGAGCTCAAGATCTGGACTTCCTGGAAGCATCTCCATTTAGACAGGTGTGTAGGCAGAGGAGAAATGGATTCTTTTTATGTTTTGCAAGAGGCACAGTCTGTTCACAAGCCTTTCAGTGCTCTCAGAGAAACTCTTGAGTAACAGCCGCCTATGGTAACATTTGTGTGGCTGAATCCAATGGGGACAGGGCCAGCCTTGCTGTATAGCACAGAGAAGCGACTTGCTTTCTTCAAATGACATCACAGTTGAGGTGGTGAGTCTACGGCCATACTACCCTGAACACATCTGATCTCGTCTGATCTCGGAAGCTAAGCAGGGTCAGGTCTGGTTAGTACTTGGATGGGAGACCACAGTTGAGGTGGGAGAAGTGGGATAGACGAAGTCAGGAATCATGCCTGAAATGGCATAGCACAGGAGGGAGGAGCCTCAAATCTGGATCCTAAATGTGGCCCTCCACACCTTTCAATCTGGCCCTTAGGACTATCTCCTGAATGCGAGGCTTGCAGATGTAGACGTTCTGCATTCAGTGCCAATCTTATGGGATACATATAATGTTAGGCATTAAAAGGGACTCTCTCTCTTCCCCACCTTCAGTTTACTTATGTCATGGTTACCATAGCAGCTGCCTATGAGTCATCTTACCTCAAAAGGGCACAACAGAGGAAGTTAGGCCTTAACTCTTTGTAAACTATTAGAGGGTCTTCGCTATATAGAGGCATTTTTCCCCTCTGGCCTTCCAAACGCAGCAAGGGGTTGTCCTCATTTCTCTATCAGGTTACGGCATACGAATGCCCCAGATCTCAACTTATTATTTTGGGCAAGGTTGGCTTTATTGCAGGATGAGCTTGTCAAGACAAGCTAAGGGATCTCGCTGAGGTTCATTGTTAAGCTTTCTGGATCCACTTCAGACACGTGTTTGTAAACAGGGAAATCGCGGCGGCCAAACAGGTGCAAGTAGCATGTTGATTTGTCGATAAGCGGCCACGGCAAAATTAGTCAGCATTTACAAATGTCAGAGGCCCAAAGGAACAGAAGGCTTATTCACACTGTAGATGACATGGGAGAGAAACACTAGGCGATGTTTGCTTAAGTCCTCTTTCTGGCAGGGTGGGAGCGGAAGAGAACTGGGATCAGCAGCAAGAAGCAAGAAGGAGAGAGCCGGGAGAGGCTTTTGCAGGCAGCTGGTCAGAATAAAACTCTGCAGGACCTGGGAGAGCTCCAAACGTCAACGGCTGACTAGGACTGTGTACATAACAGACCGTATTTTTCGCTCCATAAGACGCACCTGACCATAAGATGCACCTAGCTTTTAGAGGGGGAAGGCAAGGGAAAAAAATATTCTTTAAAGGGAGCGGTGAGCAGAGCCTGTATGCATCCCAGGCTCTGCTCAGCGTTCCCTTTAACGAGCCGTGTGGAACATGTGTGCGGCGCTTGTGGGCTTTTCCAGGAGGTGGGGGAAGGGACAGAGGGGCTAAGCCAGAAGCTAGAACAGCAAGAGGGAGCGCTGTGAGGCGATCCATCTTGCTATTCTGGCTTCTGGGATAGCCGCACGAAGCCTCCTCAGGGCAGTGGGATGAAGGCTCCCCGTGCCCTGAAGAGGCTTCGCGCGGCTAAGCCAGAAGCCAGGACAGCAAGAGAGGGCGCTGCGTAGCGATCCCTCTCACTGTTCTGGCTTCTGGGATAGCCACACGACCTGCATTCGCTCCATAAGATGCACACACATTTCCCCTTACTTTTTAGGAGGGAAAAAGTGTGTCTTATAGAGCGAAAAACACGGTACATTTAATGCACATTTAAAGCACAAGACTCCCCCCCCCCCAGAAAGGCCATGGGAACTGTGGTTTATTAAGGGCGCTTTGGAATTGTAGTTTTGAAACGGGTATAAACTATATCTCCCAGGATGATGGGGTTGTGTGTGAATGTGCTTTAAATGTATGGCATATACACAGGGAAAGTGCAAAGGTCAGCCGCATCCTTATTTTCTCAAGCAAAGACTGGGGACTGTTCTGCCCCTCAAGTGATACTACAGGGAAATTAAAGGGGCCACGCTCTGGCTTTGGCCTGTATCCTGTGGCAACACTGAATGGTGCTTGATGGTTCTAGTAGCTCAAAATACAGGCTTCAGTTGGTACAAGCAGGCCATAACAGACATTACAGGGCCCAGGGAAGTCGCCCACGAGAGCTTTCCAGGTAAATATGGCTCTAATGGACTGCACAGGTGAAGGGGAGCCCTTATACCCCCCAATAGAGCTTGAGGACTTCCAGGACCCCACTCCTCAACTGGAGTTGTGCCGTGGGTCACCTAATTCATATTCTGGAAGAAATTCTCTGCTGCTTCCCCAAGGCCTATCCTTTAGTTATAAAGGGAAGAAGATAAAAATAAGATCAGAAGACGACAAAGATAAATTTTGGAGAGACCACGGAGAAGACCTGCAGAAGAAAGTTACAGGAGAGCTAAGAGCACTTGTAAGAGAAACTTTAGACACACCAGATTTACCTCCGGAACTAAAAGAACTAAAAGAACTAAAAGAAATCAAGAAATTAGAATTTCACATATTGATACGAAACAAGTGTGGCTTTAGGGGGTCATTGTTTTTCCATTCATCCATGGGGGTTAGAAAGCTTGTGGGTTTTCTTTTTCTTTTCAATGAAACGAAGAGAATCCTGGGGCAGGGTGAGGGGAAGGACAGCTGATTCTGCATCTTTCACAGATTCCATGGCTAGTCGTATATTTCCCAGCTTGCCATCTTTTCGACTATTTTGTTTTCCCACAATAAATACTACGCAGAAAACTGTCTGTGCCAGAGGGTGGCCCAAGGGGAAATGTTTTGAATTGTTTTAGCCACAATTGGTACAGGAAATGACCAAAACAAGTAAATGTTGTTGTTGTTGTTTAGTTGTGTCTGACTCTTTGTGACCCCCTGGCCCAGAGCACGCCAGGCACTCCTGCCTTCCACTGCCTCCTGCAGTTTGGTCAACCTCATGCTGGTAGCTTCGAGAACACTGTCCAACCATCTCGTCCTCTGTTGTCTCCTTCTCCTTGTGCCCTCCATCTTTCCCAACATCAGGGTCTTTTCCAAGGAGTCTTCTCTTCTCATGAGGTGGCCAAAGTCTTGGAGCCTCAGCTTCACGATCTGTCCTTCCAGTGAGCATTCAGGGCTGATTTCCTTAAGAATGGATAGGTTTGATCTTCTTGCAGTCCATGGGACTCTCAAGAGTCTCCTCCAGCACCATAATTCAAAAGCATCAATTCCCCGGCGATCAGCCTTCTTGATGGTCCAGCTCTCACTTCCATACATCACTACTGGGAAAACCATAGCTTTAACTATACGGACCTTTGTCGGCAAGGTGATGTCTCTGCTTTTTAAGATGCTGTCTAGGTTTGTCACTGCTTTTCTCCCAAGAAGCAGGCGTCTTTTAATTTCGTGGCTGCTGTCACCATCTGCAGTGATCATGGAGCCCGAGAAAGTAAAATCTCTCACTGCCTCCATTTCTTCCCCTTCTATTTGCCAGGAGGTGATGGGACCAGTGGCCATGATCTTTGTTTTTTTGATGTTGAGCTTCAAACCATATTTTGCGCTTTCCTCTTTCACCCTCATTAAAGGGTTCTTTAATTCCTCCTCAATTTCTGCCATCAATGTTGTGTCATCTGCATATCTGAGGTTGTTGATATTTCTTCCAGCAATCTTAATTCCGGCTTGGGATTCATCCAGCCCAGCCTTTCGCATGATGAATTCTGCATATAAGTTAAATAAACAGGGAGACAATATACAGCCTTGTCGTACTCCTTTCTCAATTTTGAACCAATCAGTTGTTCCATATCCAGTTCTAACTGTAGCTTCTTGGCCCACGTGGTATTACATTAATTTTTAACGGAAGACGTTTTCCCTAACCATGAAATATTCAACTTGCTCCAGCTTTTGCAAATCTTTTCTTAATAAAAGGCTTATCCCAAGAGGAAACGTTCAGATTTGATGTTACCTTACGAAACAAGTAGGGTTGCTCTTTAAGATGTAAAACCATTGACATGGGGTTTTTTGTTTGAATTTTCACATTCTAGGGATGTGCTTCAATTTCCTGGGTGACAAATTGGGCTTGATGCATAGCTGAGCATTCGTGACTCAGACCAGATGGGACATTGGAGAACCATGAGCCATCTCTGGACAGGATATTCCTTGCTCTCGCTTCATTGAAACACAGCCATAGGAGTGGGGTCTGAAGGTTTGATCAGAGCAGCTGGGTGTGGGCACTGCTTTATCCCATCCAAGCTGCTGTTGCCAGGCTGCTTTTCCATCTGCTGGGCAGGGAAAGATGCAGAGATATACTGAGGTAGTGCCAGGGAAGCAGCCTGGAGTACGTATGCATGCGAGTTTGAAAACTTCCGGAGGGAGGGGAGAATGGTTAAGCATTTCTCTCCCCTTGCTGCTTAAATAAAATCTGCATGCACCCACTCTCTGCAGATACCTTTCAGTAGTTAGGGGGTTTTTTTTATGTTGGGAAGCTGCTTCCATCTTGACAAATTCTGACCTTTAACACTCCAGGAAGAAAGGGCTGTGTTATGTACTGAGTTGAATAGGATCCAAAATGCAGCAGTCTGATTGGTCCTAGAACAATAGGATTCAGAATGCAGCAGTCTGATTGGTCCTAGAACAATGCAGCAGTATGACTGGTCCGCAGGAGCCACCCAATCCAGCTCCAGATGGAAGTGAATCCACAACCTGATTGGCCTACAAGAGAATTCCGGAATTAGCCAATCACGTGCAGCCCATTGTGTAAATAATGTATATAAAGCAGATACTTTGGGGGGACTTTCATTTCTCCTCACCACTATGAGCTGAATAAAGAGCATGAAATCCACTCTCGACTCTGAGTATATTTCAGGCTGTATGAAGATTGTGCTGGCTCAGAAAGGCTTCGCCTCCTCTGCATAATAAACTGCTCTCCCTATTGGAATTTCCACCCCCTAGTCCAACGTACCGGCTAGGGCTGCCATACGTGCAGAATTTCCCAAACATAGTCTGGATTAGGCCATCGGAAACAGCACACGGGCAAAAAGGCTTTCATGTCCAGGAAAATCCAGGCGTATCGCAACCCATGTTGGAAGTGTAGATTTTGGCAAAGTTCCTTTAAAAAAAAAAAGCTTAACTTTTGTGTCCTTATTTTTACTTTTTGAAAATATGGCAACCCCAGTTATATTTTAGGCCTCCCCCCTCCCCAATAAAAGGTACATATTTTCCTGTTTTGGTTTATTAGTCCAGTTTGGGACTGTCCATCTAAGCATGAAATATGCCTGTCTTGAAATTGATGGGTCCTTTCATTTCCTCTCTGGGTGATTTCACCCCGCTCATCCTGGGAGAATCTATGTGCCCCTTGCCAGCT